TTAATTGATGCACACACAAACATCATTGTTGTTTATTGATAATCATACAAACATCAGTGTTGTTTATTGATGTACATACAAACATCAGTGTTGTTTATTGATGTACACACAAACATCAATGTTGTTTATTGATGTACACACAAACATCAGTGTTGTTTATTGATGTACACCAACATCAATGTTGTTTATTGATGTACACACAAACACCAGTGTTGTTTATTGATGTACACACAAACATCAATGTTGTTAATTGATGCACACACAAACATCAGTGTTGTTTATTGATAAACATACAAACATTAGTGTTGTTTATTGATGTACACACAAACATCAATGTTGTTCATTGATGTACATACCAACATCAATGTTGTTCATTGATGTACACACAAACATCAGTGTTGTTCATTGATGTACATACCAACATCAGTGTTGTTCATTGATGTACATACCAACATCAGTGTTGTTCATTGATGAACATACAAACATCAGTGTTGTTAATTGATGAACATGTACGGCATTATAGAAATTGTAGAAATATCTCCTTTTCCAACCAGATTCCATTACTACAAGTCTAATTGTCAAAAAGTTAGTTGATTTTTTTGCTTTGTTTCTTATTTCTTTACACCCTATGAACAAGGATGTATCAGGTTTGGATGGTGGAGGAAAGCTGAAGTTCTCAGAGTGAAAACACCTACCTGCGGCCAATAGTTATACTGACTGGCCCACGTTGGTCGTGAACTTCTGACACAGAGGTGGAGACCTTTGATAAAGATGGTCAACTTTGGTTTAACCTTCAGTATGAAGCAGATAATCAATTTCATGACTTGACTTACAGATTGAGGTGTTTGCCAACAGCTTTGAGCAAAATCATCTGAGCATATGTTATTTTGTTTTTCTGTTTGTCAAAATTAATGTTACATTTCAAACATTTTTCTTGCAGATGCAGCCGATAACGAATTTAGTATGCTGAATAAACCAGTGTTTTTTTATGGTAAAGATAGAGAAGGAGCTCCACCATTTCTGGTGGAGAAGGAGAAACTTGTCAAGGAAGCAGATGCTTATGTGATTATCTCCCTGAATACAACCACTGTATACCACCAGGTCTCTCAAACATGATTGACCATTTTGGAGGCAGTTGTTTCTCCAAGAAACCAAGTGGCCTTGTCACATACTCAGCAGGTAAGTGGTGCATAATTATGAGGGTTTTTTTAGAACTTTTGAATTGACTTTTTTTTCCTTTTCTTCGTAATTTAAACAGTTTCAAACTAGAGATACCTGTTTCCCACTGATCTCTGTAAAACATGAATATAGGAATGTATTACAATAGAATTAAGTTGTATTGTAATCTATTCTATTTTTAGTCCACCAGGGGGAGGGATTTTGATGACTATGTCCTTGTTAGACTTTCCATCCTTGCCAAATTTCATCGTTTTTTTTTAAAACAGGGCAATATGGAGGGATGCGTGCAGCCATGCAACTAAGAGCACTGACTGGAGAACTAGGATGTCTCAGCGTGTCCAATATATTTGGTATACCTTCTGCCCAGAAATCTCTAGATTCTGAAGGAAACCCGCTCAATGAACACATGGAATCTGGTGCAAACAAATTGCTTACCCAGTTGGACTGGATGGCATGGGCAATGAAAAATCATCGTGCCGTTTCAAACGTAGACTTTTAATACAGAGTCATGAGGGTTTAGTTTTAGATGATATGCTTTACTTCAAAGAAAATTTGAGGAATTTATATATTTTTGAAAAGAATTAGTTTGGAATAGTGGTGGATCCCAAGGTCATGTAGTTGATTTAGTATGTGTTTATAATCTTCATTATGCAGACCTGTTCTACACCACTAACGTCATTATTTAAGTTTGTGTAGGTGTGGTAGAATCAACTTGCCATTATTTAAGTTTGTGTAGGTGTGGTAGAATCACTATTAGTTGAAATTTTAATTTTATTTTCTATTTTTGTTTCTGTCTTATTACAGTTTTGAAAAAAAAAAAAAATATATATATATACCTGGAAAATGTCTGCGTACCACACTTCACGAACTTTAGATCTTATCAGTGATATGAGTTGAAAAAGTGTTGATACCTTTATGGTGTCCCACCTAAACTTTAGGTTAGTTCTTAGTTCCATATGAAAAAAAAATAAAAGCTTACTGGAAACCATGTATAGCACAACAAATTTCTGTACATGAAAAATTACAGAGATACTACATCTAAATCAAAGCTGAAGTATATCAATTTTACCAACAGAGTCACTTTATTGTTATCGCAGAGACAATGGTAAACAAGATGTTTTTTCGTGACATATAAGGATGTAGAGAAGATATTTACCTTGCACAAATCTCACCATTCTTTGTAAAATCTAGAACGTCCCTATTTAGTGGATATAATTTTGCCTTTTAAAAACTGGAACTAAATATGACTTCATTTTGTATCATGTAACTATCCAAAAAGATTTGTATAATGTAACTATTACTAGAATCTGTATAATACGACTATCAAATTGGAAACATAGATCTGACCTTCAATGTATTATTTGTCTATTAACATTAATCATTTCATTAAAATTAATTTTCAAGTTAATCACATGCATATATATTACAAGACAATAAAATGTGTTTTAAGGTATTTTCATTCAAGATTCAAAGCACTTGATGTCCTATTAATTAAAACAGAAAGGTAACTACACCAAAAACCCATTAAAATGTTCCAGGACTATTGGTAATATATGAGTGAGAATTGATGATCAGGTTTGGTGTATTTACATTTCTAGATGTTTAGTTTATAGTTTCTAATTGAAACTGTTATTGTATGTAGTGTTGTTTTTTTTTTTCATTGTTTACATATACATTGTAGTTTGCTGACTATGTACTTACTTCTGAATAATTTACATTTAATTTCATCTTTGCTGATTTTTAATTAAGTTTATATAGTGTTTGTATGTGATGTTCAGTGTCTGGTTATATCTTTTAGCTCTGTTTATGCTCAGTAATATTTTCACACACATTTACAGCAAATAAAAAAAATTTCCCTGAGCTTAAAAGTTTGCAAATTTACCCCAAATAAAGCAAAGATCAGGAATATTTGTGTGATTTCAAAAAGTCATCAGTACATTATCCTATACACTTTATAAAGGCAGAGACAGCCTATGAAATTCAACTAGATAAAAAAGAATACACAACTTGTGGTAGTTTCAAGTATCAGATACAGTTTTTATACATATGTATCACCCTGTTAATACACAATTATCTCCACAGTGTAAGCTTATTTTTTCATACAGAGAATAGAGCCAGTTCCATATGTAGGAGCTTGGGTTGATTTGCAAATATATTACACTTGAACTGAAAGGTAAAAATCTCAATCACAACGAGCTGAGGATGATCCTGTCCTGATCAAGTCCTCGGGGCGAAACCAGTAAATATATAGTAAAAATACACTACTCTTATCATCCTGAGCTTGATGCAATTGATTTTTACCTTTTAGTTCCGACTACTTTTCAATCGCCCGGCATACCTGGAAGTATCCAAGCTAGGGATAACAGAACCAACACCACAAGAAGTACGGCATTGGTTGTATTCCCTCCTGGATATTTACACTTGAACTGGGTACATCTTTGACCTCTGTACGTGGTATCTTTTGTTGGAAAACTGCCTATTGGTATTAAGATTTAAATAACTTATCAATTAATAATATTTTGAAATATATGGTTATACACAGTATTGAAAAGGTATGCTTATAGAGAATTTTTGCAGAAAAATGCTTTTTTATTTCATTTTACCGATCAGTGATACTCTGAAAACTTGAAAACGAGCAAACTACAAATAGAACCTTATCCAGAAATTAAGCTTGTATTTTCTTATTATTATAGAAATTAGCCACATCTTATTTTCAAGTTTTTAGGATAGTGTGTAATGGAAATTTAACCTTCACTCATTCACAGTACTGCAATGTTATATTACATGTATGATATAAGATAATATGTACAGGGTATTATTTCACCGTCAACAGGGTACTTGTATCGAAAATAAAATCCTACAGTGAATTACAATTTTTGTATATCTGGTGGGCCATTGTTCAGGATAATGTTGTCATTATTACAAATCTCATCTCACAAATAATTCTTACGTCCTGTTTCAAATCTCTACTATAAAATCATGAAATTCATATTCCTTGAATTCAGGGGCACTCTAAATTCACACATTTACTTGTTCACCATACACAGTATATGGATTATAGTAGTACATACAGTGGGGTTTGTGAGCAAGATATATCTATGAAATAAACAAGGAGAGTGCCATTTTAGGTCAGCTGCGAAAAATCTGATGATGATCAATAGGGATCACTTCTGGCATCAATCAATTTCTTCTCAAAAAACTCTGAATTGGTTTCAAAGAAATTTTGCAGAAACTTTCCCTGACCAAAGATGAACAAAATAATGAATTATATGGTCCCCATCCCACAGGGCCCTGAGGGGCAGGGGTCTGAGGGGCAGGGGCCTGAGGGGCAGGGCTATAAGTGGGCAGATTGACTAGGATTTCACAAATCTTCTCAACACCCAGATATGGTAGAATAAAATGCCTTCATTGATGGAGGCATCTTTAGGTGTTTTACTCTTCCATTGGAACCCTTTGTGATCCTGGCTGACCCCCAGGGGCTGATGGGCTGGTCCAGGTATGGTAGAATAAAATGCCTTCATTGATGGAATCCTCTTAAGGTGCTTTAATTACCAAAGGAGATCGAAGGAAGTTGATTTTACTGTAATTCTCACAGAAAAATTGCATCTTTAAGCAAAATTGGAAATAATTTTGTAAGAATTGTTATTAGTAAAGGATGACAGTTTTGATGGTATGCAGGTATTGACACTGACTGACTATCATCAATGTCACAATTTCTTTTTCATGACACTTGAAAGCTACTTATCCTTTAACCTTTAAAATCAATATTGCTTATCTCAGGTGATCAGCAAGGTCGCTAGGCCTCTTGTTGGAAAACCATAAAATGTAAGCTCCACGAAAATATATGATTTCAGAGTATATGTTAATTATTTCTTTATTCCTATTAATATTCTATACATTAAATATAATTACATCATATAATATCATATCAGATATGCAAATTAATGTCACTTTCTGGTTAATATCACATTTTCTTGAAAGAATGATTTTTACCCTATTTATATTATCTTTATATAGATTTTTACATTCAAGATCTGCTGGTTGATGTTCATAATTATATTTGTATCATATTTTTTTTGTGAGTTACAAATAGATATGTTTTTAAACCATATAATAGTTGATTGTTGTGAATGCAGCTTGGTTAGAAATATTTGTAACGTTATATTTCAGGCACTTTCACTTTTTTTGTCTAAAGTTTACCACGTAGATTACTCAAGGATATATTCATACAATGTACATTATATGTATGCTTCCTCCAATCAGCTAATAGCCTAACTTTCGGAAATCTTTTCCATCAATTTGAAAGTAATCATACATATTTGGTGGTGTTGAAATATATTGTGCCTTAAACTGTCACCACCCCATCCTTGGTTACATCCATATTGCATGAAGACTGCTGGGGTTTTATTTTAAAGTCATGATTGATCGCGTACTAGGAAGTCATGTCACTTTAAATTGGTAAACAACTTTACTGAAGTCAAGATTGATGGTGTCACTTCAATCAGGAATCAACATTAACAAAAGTAAACATTTATCGTGTACCTGGTACCTCACAAAATTATTGGAGACATTACTGAAATAACAAGCCAAAACTGACAGAATTATTGAGGATTTTACTGAAATTACACGGCACAACTGACAGAATTATTGAAGATTTTACTGAAATTACACGGCACAACTGACAGAATTATTGAAGATTTTACTGAAATTACACGACACAACTGACAGAATTATTGAAGATTTTACTGAAATTACACGGCACAACTGACAGAATTATTGAAGATTTTACTGAAATTACACAGCAGAACTTTCAGAATTATTGAAGATTTTACTGAAATTACACGACACAACTGACAGAATTATTGAAGATTTTACTGAAATTACACGGCACAACTGACAGAATTATTGAAGATTTTACTGAAATTACACGGCACAACTGACAGAATTATTGAAGATTTTACTGAAATTACACGGCACAACTGACAGAATTATTGAGGATTTTACTGAAATTACACGGCACAACTGACAGAATTATTGAAGATTTTACTGAAATTACACGGCACAACTGACAGAATTATTGAAGATTTTACTGAAATTACACGGCACAACTGAGAGAATTATTGAAGATTTTACTGAAATTACACGGCACAACTGACAGAATTATTGAAGATTTTACTGAAATTACATGGCACAACTGACAGAATTATTGAAGATTTTACTGAAATTACACGGCACAACTGACAGAATTATTGAAGATTTTACTGAAATTACACGGCACAACTGACAGAATTATTGAAGATTTTACTGAAATTACACAGCAGAACTTTCAGAATTATTGAAGATTTTACTGAAATTACACGGCACAACTGACAGAATTATTGAAGATTTTACTGAAATTACACGGCACAACTGACAGAATTATTGAAGATTTTACTGAAATTACACGGCACAACTGACAGAATTATTGAAGATTTTACTGAAATTACACGGCACAACTGACAGAATTATTGAAGATTTTACTGAAATTACACGGCACAACTGACAGAATTATTGAAGATTTTACTGAAATTACACGGCACAACTGACAGAATTATTGAAGATTTTACTGAAATTACACGGCACAACTGACAGAATTATTGAAGATTTTACTGAAATTACACGGCACAACTGACAGAATTATTGAAGATTTTACTGAAATTACACGGCACAACTGACAGAATTATTGAAGATTTTACTGAAATTACACGGCACAACTGACAGAATTATTGAAGATTTTACTGAAATTACACGGCACAACTGACAGAATTATTGAAGATTTTACTGAAATTACACGGCACAACTGACAGAATTATTGAAGATTTTACTGAAATTACACGGCACAACTGACAGAATTATTGAAGATTTTACTGAAATTACACGGCACAACTGACAGAATTATTGAAGATTTTACTGAAATTACACGGCACAACTGACAGAATTATTGAAGATTTTACTGAAATTACACGGCACAACTGACAGAATTATTGAAGATTTTACTGAAATTACACGGCACAACTGACAGAATTATTGAAGATTTTACTGAAATTACACAGCAGAACTTTCAGAATTATTGAAGATTTTACTGAAATTACACGGCACAACTGACAGAATTATTGAAGATTTTACTGAAATTACACGGCACAACTGACAGAATTATTGAAGATTTTACTGAAATTACACGGCACAACTGACAGAATTATTGAAGATTTTACTGAAATTACACGGCACAACTGACAGAATTATTGAAGAT